ATATATATATATATAAAAGAAAAGAAAATATGAATATTAATCAATTAAAAAGAAAAGTCCTTTTACAACCTGGAAGGAAAGAATAACAAAAAGTACTCTAAATTAATTAATTAAAAGATGCTTCACCTTTTTTCATGGACCCTAAAACAATTAAAGTAAAAATGACAAAACAAATAACAAAAATCCAAAAATCCCAAAACAACAACTAATTTGTTGTGCACTAGATTTACCAGTATCATCAATTTCAACTTTATTTTCCACAAAATAATTATGTCTTTTAGTATACCAAAATATAATTTTGTATCTAATTTTGGTTCTCACGTCAACTCTAATAATTGCCTTGGAATTATTTGAAGCATCCTTAATTGCATTATCCCATGGCATATTATGTGCCTCAAACATGCCAACTTTAGATGCTTCTTTACCTTTGCCTTGTTTAAATTTGACAAATGTATAATTACCTAGAGGGTAACTTGTATTTTTACCATAGTAAAAACTAAGGGTAACGTTGTCGTAACGAACAGATTTGTCCTTCATTTCATTCTTCAAATTGAGTTGAAATGATATATGGTTGTCACGCTTCGTCTTGTTGTAGTTGGAGTTGATTGATTTGTCAAGGCCTTGCACGTAAACATCTCCGATAGAACATTTAGGCTTCGTGGTATGTAGGCTTAACCATAAGATCAGAGCTGTGACGCCTAAACTCACTATCAATTTGATACAATCACAAATATGTGACATGTTGAGAAGTCAGAAAGACAAATTTTAAATTTTGAGTTATGAGAAGAGAAGAAAGAAGAGATGAAAGAAGAGATGATAGAGAGAAGTGGTGAAACAATTTTCCTAAAGAAGTTTTTGTGGTTTTCTAAAGGTATATATTTATCTCAACAATTATATTTTTTGCTTTTTAGAAGACTTGAGTGATTGGGTCAATGACTTTATTACTTTGCCCCTCATGTTATTTGCTTTTATTTTATTTTTTTGGTCCTTGTAGACAAGTTAGTTGGTGGTTTCCACTAAACTTCTTGGAACATGTCCTACAAAGTAATGTGAAAGTAAGAGTAAAAAAAAAAAATATTTTGGAAAAAATATTTTTTTTAAAAATAAGTAATATGTATCTTAGGTTATTTGGTGAGTAAGCAAAAAGGATTATCACAAAAGTATATATAAGTAATTTAGATAAATACTATAAGACATGATGAAAGGCGGAAATAAATGATGAGGTTGGTTGTTTGGATGAAAAATGAGACAATAAACATGAAATATCACATATTTGTTTTCTTACACCCACCAAAAAAGACGGTAGAGTGGGGATGGTGATAACTGATAACACTTGAAAAGCATGCTAAAAAAGATTATTTTCATCGTTATTTTTGTGCAACAGTTCATTAGTAGTGAAAGAAAGAATGAACGTACCTACAAGAGTCTTCTTATTTTTACAGAAGTTCTTTATTATGTAAAAACTCAAATTGTTACATATAGATAATGATGGAGTACATGGCAAGACTCTAACCTAGAGACTTTGTTTGTTACGCTACCATTTTGTAGCGTATGATCATCTCATTAATTAGAGAATTAGAGATATCATACTTCTGTTTACTTAATTATATTATCAACAAATTATAAAAATGTTATGAAAAAGAACACGTCTAAGAGTTTCGTAAAGTATTTTAATTTTAGGAATATATTCATATATAAAATGGAAGGTGAATACAAAATAGAATAATTTTCTCATTAGATGAGATTGATAGGTAAATCCTTTTATTATTATTTTTCTTTTTTATTTGAGGTTGATACACGTGGATCTTTCAAAAATATGATGTTTATCTCTATGAGATAGTCAAAATATTTGCGTATTTCATACTTTTTTTTAGAACCCACTTAGTGATCTTTTATTGGATATGTTATTGTTGTTGTCATTTAACAAGGAGCGTTTATTCTTCAGTTAAGGGCACAATTGCATATGTTGCACGTATGTGTGTATATATATATACGTATGTATATATACGTGTATATATATATATATATATATATATATATATATATATATATATATTATTTTTAGAGGATCTTGATATGGAATGTAAATTCAAATTAATTGAATTAGTTGAATTGGAACTTACTTTGGATGCCTTTGACTGCATTTATGCTAAAGTATAAATTGATTAGGTATATGTCATATAATTTTATAGTTGTATCATGTATGTCTTGATTATTTAAAATTGTTGAACTAAAGTTAATAAAATTTGATTTTTTTTTATAAACATATATGTTTTATTCATAAGATACCACATTTAATTAATATGATATAATGCACAAATATATATTTTTACTTGGCATTAAATACGTTTTTCAATTTTGAATGTGTATTAGTAGATTCACGAATTCGGCTTGACATAATACATGTATGATGTCACATAGGACATAAATTTATCATGTAGGACTTCACAAAGAATTATTGTGTCTGTTTATTCAATTTTATACAAGTTTAAGTGTCTACTTGTGCACCGCCTAAAGTTAAAATGTATAGATATGAGTTCAGGCTAAATTAAAGGGCTAATCTATATATTATGTCAATCAATAACAATGTACATTTTATCGTACATATTCTAGATTTTTATTCATACTCGAATTCTGATTCTCAAATACTTATATTTATATGGTAAAAAGAATCCACACAATATAGCTTTTTAGTGATTTATTATTCACCCAATACAAATTTCAATTAATCAATGATAATTGCTGAAAGAAAAAAAAATATGAACATATAATTATAGAAAGAACAACAAAAATACTCTAAATTAAAATTAATTGAAAGATGCTTCACCACAACAAAGATACTCTAATTTAAAATTAATTGAAAGATGCTTCACCTTTTTCATGGACCCTAAAACAATTAAAGTAAAAATGACAAAACAAATAATAAAAATCCAAAAATCCCAAAACAACAACTAATTTGTTGTGCACTAGATTTACCACTATCATCAATTTCAACTTTATTTTCTACTAAATAATTATGTCTTTTAGTATACCAAAATATAATTTTGTACCTAACTTTAGTTCTCACATCAACTCTAATAATTGCCTTAGAATTATTTGAAACATCCTTAATTGCATTATCCCATGGCATATTTTGTGCCTCAAACATGCCAACTTTAGATGCTTCTTTATCTTTGCCTTGTTTAAATTTAACAAATGTGTAATTACCTATAGGGTAACTTGTATTTTTACCATAGTAAAAATTAAGGGTAATGTTGTCGTAACGAACAGCTTTATCCTTCATTTCATTCTTCAAATTGAGTTGAAATGATATATGGTTGTCACGCTTCGTCTTGTTGTTGTTCGAGTTAATTGATTTGTCAAGACCTTGCACGTAAACATCTCCGATGGAACATTTGGGCTTCGTGGTACGTAGGCTTAACCATAGGACTAGAGCTGTGACGCCTAAAGTCAATATCATTGTATAACAAGTAGAAGCATTTGATTTCGCCATGTTGAAAAGTCAGAGATAGATTCAGAATTTAAAGCTATTCGAAGAGAAAGAAAGAAGAGATGGGAAATGAGAGTAGAGAGAAGTGGTGGAACAATACTCTTGAGAAGTTTTTGTGGTTTTTTTAAAGGTATATATTGACCCTCAACAATTTTTATTTTTTTTTTGTTTTTTTAAAGACTTTGAGAAATTGGGTCAATGACTTTATTACTTTATCCCTCAATTTTTATTTTTTTTTTCCTTTTTGTATACTTATAGACAAGTTAGTTGGTGGTTTCCATTAAATTCTTGGAACATGTCTTGTCCAATAGTGTGAATGGAAGAATGAAGAAATTAATAATTAATTTGCAAAAAAATACTTTTTAAAAAAATAAGTAACTTTTTTTATATATTTGATGAATAAAAAAAAAGTATTATCGTAAAAGTATATGTAAATAATTTAGATAAATACTATCGAATATGATTCCACAAAATTTAACTATTTGCCCCCACACTCATGTAATTACTCCTTTGACAAGTGACAACACACTTTGCCATTACTTTCAACTTCTTGGAAGATAATAATATAAATAAAAATAAAAGTACAAAGACTAGTTGGTTGACCCAGCCTGTATTTTAAAAAATATTTTTTTAAAAATCCAGGTCTTTTTATAAATAAAAAAACAAATAATAAACCCAATTAATTATAGCTCTTCTAAAGAATTGATACTTTTTTTTTCATGGTTCGGAGTCTGATATTCGCTTTGAAATATTAACTAATCAGGTGTTAGAAATTTTAAATCGATTGTTTCTTTTTGGTGTAGTTGTTAAATAAATTTATCAAAATCCTATCGATATACCTATGAGGTTTTTATTACTTTGCTGAATTCATTTTTTCTATAGTTTTGTGTCTCTTTTGTGCTGACGTGACATCTTTAATTCGGTAATATTGTTGTGGTAAGTGGGCTCTTTGGATAGCCCATGAATAATTCAAGTAATTGAGTTGAGTCCATTCTTGATAACTTTGATTTCTAGCCCATTTCTAATGAAACTAGAGATCAAGTTAGTTGATTTTGAAGATTTGGCCCTTAATTTTTACTTTTCTTGGTAGCAATTCATATTTAGACACAATTTTATAGAATAATATTTTGGACAGAAAGTTACTGAATTAGATTTAATTTTGTATTTACTTAATTGTAATCTATTATAGCTAACTACGTGAAAATTCTTTTGAATAATGGGTGAGAATGAACCCTGAATTTACGATGGCCTTTGTCTACTCTAATATTAATGTGTGTGACTCTATCTCATATAAAAACTTAAATTGTTACAGATATATAGATGATGATGAAGTACATGAGACTCAAATCTAGAGACTTTATTTGCTTCGCTACCATGTTGAAGTGGTGTATAACCATCTCACTAAAAACATAAGTTAGAATATTAGAAATAGCATACTTCGACTGTATTTATTTAATTATATTCTCAACAAATTATAAAATGTTATGAACAAAGTGAAAATAAAGAGGAGGCAAAAGCTAAAATGTCTTCATTAAGTTTAATATAATATCATATATTTCACGTTACAACAACTTATATTAGTACATAATAACTATATGTAATGCTCGAACCTTTTGAAAATATTGTCAACGGACCATCCAAAAGTTATATATTTTTAAGGGATCCATATGAGTGTGACAATATTTTTAAGAGGTCCAAAAGCAACATATATCATACTTATACTAGTACATTACAACTATATTGCTCAAACTCTTCAAAAATACTATCAAACGTGTGTTGAAGGATTTGACACAAATACAACATCATTTCAGAGTCACAATATTACATACTAATTATTCAAATTAATTAATAACCCTACAGTTCGTCCTGATTTGACCGTTCGATCCGATCAAAGGACTAATGTTTCCCATCTTAATCATTGAATTAACAAAGTCATTAAAGAAAAACGTAGAGTTATTGCTATATGTCTCAACTAGGGTTTTTGTTGTTGTTATAGCATCATCACTAGAGAACAAGATTTGGTCTGATTCAAGAAGTCCTCTTCCATTAATCAAATTCTTGAAAAAATGATTGTCAAATAAATTTGTAGAATTCCTATCAAGTGGGGTTGTGTTGTTTCCATCACTTGTTGAAGGACACAAATTTTGAAGTTCACTTACTATGGTTGTGTCTAATGTTGTGTCTGGTGAACTTGTCCCATTGAAGTTTCTTAATCTATTGTCAAATGTTGTACACCTTGCTAATCCAATTGAATGTGCACCTACAATAATATTCAATTAAACATTTAAAAAGGGTTAGTACAAAGTAAAAGCATATTCAGAATTTCGGGATGATATTGCCGATGCACTATGATGAATATTAAGGAGGATCTAATCGATTTGACATTCAGATTCTTATCATTGAATATCATTAAGTTTTTAAAATTATAGGTTTAAAATTGAAATGTTTTATTAATTTAAACACCAAAATTGCTATCAATAACTATTTAAAGATGTATTGCTCATTTTTAGAAAGAAAAATAAAATAAAATAGATATAAAATTCAAATTTCTGACCTCACTAGGAGGTGCACCTAATCATCGTTAAATTACACATCTATATTTAACAAAAAAGTTAAAGATATAACACAATTAAGGTACTAGTGTTTTTTTTTATATTTAATCATTGGTAGGTAAATTTATTGATTATAGTTGATCATTTATTATATTTAAATTTACATTGCTAATATAAGAAAAATATTTTTACTATATATATAAGTGTATATAATTTTTTTTTGTAAAAAAATATTTAAATATTACCTGATAGGCTCACAACATCTGTTAAGTTTAATCCAACATCCTGGAATTTAGAAATAATTGTATTAAGTGGATCAAATGGTGTTGGAAGTCCATTACTTGATCCAGAAAAATTAGCAGCTAATCCATCTCTTCTCCCTAATAACACCTTCCAAAATGGCCCTCCACTCTGAAAAAAATTAATTAATAAATTAATTTATTTGAAATAGGATTTCGTCACTCTTAATTAGAAATCTCAAGTTCATAATGCTGAAAAAAAGAAAAAGAGAAATTTTGTTTGATAAGGAGCGTTACTTAAATGAACGAGGCTTAGGAAGCATGAATCTGAATTAATGAGAACTTTGTCGATATATTAGGCACCATATATATAGAATATAATCAAAGATTAGTTAGTCTTAAAAGAGAATATCAAATATCATATGAATTTATCTTTAAAAAAATGAATATTTACACAATTAGATTATTATTACTTGGTACATAAGTCCATGTAAATCTTGTAAATATTAATTGGTAAAAATGATAATTGACCTATATAAGTAATTTATCTAAAAGACAATAAGTTATCTTTTAAAAAATTCACAAACTTTGAAAATCAAAAAGATAAATTATATATTTTTTAAAAAAATATATAACAGGTTAAATTGCAGTGATAACGTAAAAAGTCTTACCAATAACACTGAATCTCTTACCGCTATAGCTAAAATGTCTGCACAAGAAACAATTCCAGTACACGTATTCTCAAGGACAGTTTTTATATTGTCTATCACTTCATATCCTCTTGCTGAGTTCAAATTTCCTGGAGCAAATTTTTCACTTGTACTACTATTTCCATCCAACAACAACGATGCATCACAACCCTACATTTTTATTAAATAAATCAGTAGAAAAAGTTACAGATATATATCGTTCATTCAGTTAATTTATTAATACGATTAAAATACCAGTATATATAGTGTATATGCATGTATGCTATATTTAATATACAAATTTATTTAACATAAAAAATATGATCGATACACTATGTACATGTTTTATAATCTAAATTAGAAGAAAAAGTTATAAATATATACCGTTTGTTTAATTTATTTATCATATATATTTTCTGTATATGTATGTATATTGTATATATTATATGTGAATATTTAGTATAGAGATTACATATTTTATAATCTAGTTGGTCGAAGTATGTTTAGGTCTGTAATTATCTTTAAAAATGTGTTAATTATCACATTTTAATTATAGAAGTTAATTAATTAACTCATAAATAGTTAGAAGAGTTTGAGTTTTGTATACTGACGATGTATAAATTTATCAAACCGTGAAACTAAATTGACATACAATATAACGTATAGATAACTCAATTTAGCCGGTTAAATTGCATTGATAGTTTTATTAAAAAAATTATACGATTAATATACATAATTTAATATTGAAATAAATATATTAAAAGGGGAGTCTTGGAGTAATAATGTTGTTATATCCATATGATATATCGTTCACATGATACATTTTTAACGAGTAGCGATTTTGACAGTTTGTGTTAATTTTAAGCCCTTTATTATGTATTCGGCCTAATAATAACTTTGAAATAAGGTAACGATCTTATACTATAACAAGTTAAATTATATCGTTAGTAAATAAAAAAACTCACATTGACAAAGCAATCGTGAAAGTGAAGACGAAGCAAAGAAGCAGCCATTCTCATTTCATTCTTGATTGCACTTTGAACTTCTCTACGTACAACTCTAAGAAGATTTGGACATGTTTTTGAGTAAAAATTTGGTGTTAATTGACAATTCACACCAACAAATAACACCAAGAAAGTCATAATTTGAAAATATAAAATAAAATTACGAGGTTTAGTCTTCATGATTTTATTATCGACTCTAAATAATCGTTTTTTTTACTCAGTACGATCAATTTGGACTTTTAACGACTAAATATTTGATTGTAAATGCATATCGTACTTGAACCCTAATTTATAGTCATGATTAACAAATATAAAATTCATTAATCATTAATATAAGCTATAGTGCTATATATTTGTTTTTTTTTAAAAAAATCAAACTTAATTAAAAATCTAAAACTAATTAATCTACTCATTTACTTAATGCTAATCACTTTGGAAAGTGGAGCAAATAAAGGTTTTAATATTGCATGGTTATGGTAATGGAGGCTTAGTACTTAATTACTTATCATAATATATTAAATTTTTGTGATTAGTGACAATCAATTTTTTTCTCTTTCGATCTTTATTGACTTTTAACGACTGAATTTAAATTTTTATTGTTATGTTTTGTGAGGTATGTTGTGTGCATGTTAATGTATTTTTGAACCCTAGTTTATATTCATGATTAATAGATGATTATTGATTAATAAATAAATATAAAATTCATTTATATATAAGTTATTAGGTAGTCTATCACTAAAACGAAAATAAATTAGCGATGGACGATATCTTTTATTATTAAACAGAATTTTTTATAGCTAATTCTGTTTAATAGCTTGTAACGAATTATCAAATAATATTATATTAGCTACAAACTATTTATCGACAGATTAACGATAGAGTTTTTTTTTGTAGTGGCATGATGTATGGAGGTTCCATTTAGGGGTTTTGTATCAATCTTAAAATGTATAACCATTTACTTAATTATAATATTAATCACTTTTGAAAGTTAAGAGTTGAAAGTTTTAAATTATATTATTATATTGAAAATACAAACATGTTCATGAATGTGAGCTATGTTTGAGGGATAATTTAATTAATTAATTGGATTGAATTACTTAAGTATAGTGCATGATAATTAAAAAAAAATGTTCCAATAACATTGGTTTTTTAGTTGTTTCTAATATGTATTAGTGCTTAATTAGGTTGATAGCATGATTATTATCTTTAATATATCTTCTCTCTTGGACTATAGTAGTAGTTATGTATTTATTTTAGTACCAAAACATTGACTTTTACGATAGACGCGTTGAAATTATTTTTAATAATATATGAAAGACGATTGATAAGATTAGAACTTATAAATGATGTGTGTTTCTTTAGCTATCGACGATATTGCTTAGGGAAAACACAATAGCTAAAAAGAAAGACATACATAAAAAGAAAATATTTTTTAAGCGTCTAAAAAACGAATGATTGGGTCTTAAATTGCTTTACGCAAATACACGAGCCCAAATTTATGAGAATTAACGGCCCATTTTCCCATAGAAACATGAACATAAGGCCCATTAATGGCCCATTTTCCATAGAAACATGAATATAAGGCCCATTATATCTAATATACTTTGAAAAATCATTTTTTAAGAATTTTTTTTCTTTTAGAAATACTATTGTGATCAATAAAATATGAAAAATAATTTAAAATATTTTTCACAAGAATACAAAAGCTCTTGTTAAAATTTGGAAGATTCAAAATTCAAAAAAGTCTATTAATACTGCAGTCAAGTGACTTTATTATTAGTATAAGAATATTCTATGGAATTGTAATTATTAATATACCATAAAGTCAGCCATGCAGATAAAATTTAAGGAATATTAAGACTTAATTTTATTCACACTTAAAGATACTTATTCATTGTAAAAAAAAATCCATAATCAATGATTAGTTATATATCAAGTTGTAATATTTTAAAAGATTATATATCAATAGGGAAAATAAAATTTGGAGATCAAATCCAATAATAATTCATGCATTATAAGTCAATATATATATATTTAATGATTTCAATTAATTATTCTTTTGATTATTTCTTCGCATGTAGTTAAAGTAGTATTCAAGTAATTCAGAATTTTCAACGTAAAACATAAATATATGTTTGTGTGAGAAAATTCATCAACATTTCAACAATATCATATTTGAACTCGGAGTTTTAAAAATGCAATGAGTTCAATGTTAAAAATATCGAAAATCGAATCAGTAAATAAACCTTGTACATTTGTCAAGAAATATATTGAATATGTATATATTAACTTCAAAACTCATAAATTACAACTCTAGATCTATAAACTTCAATATCGTAGATCCGCCTATGACATGTCATGAACTTATCCTTATTTTAATTATGTAAGAGTTAATTTTCAAACACTATATCTAAAATGATTTTTAGCGTTAATTAATTAACAATTATATTATCGCTAAATATGTATTTTTTAGCGATAATTAACACTTTCTGTATATGTCCCTAAAGGTTTTAGCGACATTAAATCTAATAGCATTTAACTGATACCGATAAAGATTTTAATACTCTTTATTAATATGTTTATTTATTGCCACTAAAAAATGTTTGTGTTATAGTGAAATGAATAATGTACTAGTCTTATAGCATATTGCACTTTTCCCAAATAAATTTATTATTTCCATCAAAAATGATGCAGCATGTGTGTACTAGAGGAAGTGACATTAAGAAATAATTCAATTTTTAACAATTCGTCTGTCATAAATTAAATTCATCAAAAATTTTGAAATTTTTTAATGAAAAATACGTTAGAAATATATTCGACAAATGATTTTTTAATATTTTCTTTCATAATAATTAATATTTTGTTGAATTTTAATCAAAATATGGTCATAAAAATGATGAAATTTTTAACGAAAAATACGTTAAAAACATATTCGGTAAATGATTTTTCAATATTTTCTTTCATAATAATTAATACTTTGTTGAATTTTCATCGAAATAGGGTCACAAAAAAGTTGAAATTTTTGATGAAAAATACGTTAGAAACATATTTGACAAATGATTTTTCAATATTTTCTTTCATAATAATTAATATTTTGTTGAATTTTAATCGAAATAGGGTCATTAAAAAGTTGAAATTTTTAATGAAAATAGGTTAGAAACATATTCTACAAA